TGCTGAGCCTGCGGGTGCTGAGCCTAGGGGTGCAGAGCCAGAGGGTACTAAGTTTGGGGGTACCGAGCCTAGGGTTACTGCATCTGCTGGAGGTGCTATGGGTGCCTCGCCCCAGCAGTCTAGCCGGCGGGAGCCTCTCTCACCACAGCAGCTGCGCGAGTGGTTTGCTCGGTGCACCCCCCTTCGGAGTGGTGCTGCTAGCACTGGAGCTGGAGGCCCTAGTGCTGGAGGCCCTGTGCTGGAGGCGCTGGAGTTGGTGGTACTGGTGCTGGTGGCGCTGGAGCTGGAGGTTTTGGAGCTGCTGGAGGCGCTGGTGCTGGAGGCGCTGGAGCTGGTGGTACTGGTGCTGGAGGTACTGGTGCTGGAGGTACTGGTGCTGGAGGTACTTGTACTGGAGGCGTCGGAGCTAGTGGTACTTTTGCTGGAGGTGCTGGTGCTGGTGGCGTTGGAGCTGGAGGTTCTGGAGCTGCTGGAGGCGCTGGTGCTGGAGGCGCTGGAGCAGGTGGTACTGGTGCTGGAGGCATTGGAAGTGCTTGGAGCAGGTGGTACTGCACAGCGGCGACCGTTTTTCGTTTTGCCATCACCGTCATCTCTGCCACCATCTGGCTCGGTGCTTCGCCAGGTTCTTAGTCTCCCGTCTTCTACTGGCCTTACTCCTCCCTTACTATGTCCACCGCCTGACCAGTCGCAGCCACAATTACAGCCAGAATCCCCGCTGCCTGCTCCTTCTCCTTACACTAAGCAGACAGACTCTCACAGAGCATCGTGAGCCTGAGCCTTGTCCTGCCTCGCCTGTTCGCGCTGTTCGCACTGGTCATCGTGTTCCTCGTCCGCGTCCTTCTCTTGTCCCCGGCGCTCACACTATGGCACTTCGTCCTTCCTCTGTTCCACAGCGTGCCCCTTTGCCGTCTCCTACCGCGTCCTCTCTTCCTGACGTTACGAATCCTGAGTCTGACTTGGTTCGTGCTGCCAACCCTAGTCTCCGACGTCTCCTAGCCACTATTGTCACTGACCCTTCGTTTGAGTCCACTGCTGCGTCTGCCTTAGCTACTGAGCTTGTTGTCTCGACTATGCCGCTAGTCTTGCTGCTGCTGCTTGTCGTCTCGACTATGCCGCTAGTCTTGTTGCTGAGTCTGAGTCTGACTGTCCTCCGTCCGTCGGGGGTGAGTGTGCTCCTGGCACGGACGTCCTTGAGGACAGGCAGGAGGACTTTGAGTGTCTTGCAGCCGCTGCACCTCATCTCGTGGCCATGCTGCTTGCACCTGAGGGAGACCCGGATGCACAGGACATTCCGACTCTGCGCTCTTACGCAGAGGCGATTACGGGTCCCTACTCCTCTCAGTGGCGAACAACCATGGACGCAGAGATGGCATCCTGGAAGTCCACAGGCACTTACGTCGATGCAGTTCCCCCTCCTGGGGCGAACATAGTCGATGGCACGTGGATTTTCAGGGTGAAGCGGCCGTCGGGTTCTCCGCCTGTCTTCAAGGCTCGTTACGTTGCACGAGGCTTTAGTCAGCGACAACGAGTTGACTTCTTCCATACCTTCTCCCCGACCCCAAAAAATGACCACTCTTCGGGAATTGCTGCACGTTGCCGCTCAGCGTGGCTACGAGCTTCACTCTCTTGACTTCAGCACAGCTTTCTTACACGGCAGCCTGCACGAAAAGATCTAGCTGCGCCGCCCACCTGGCTTCACTGGGTCGTTTCCTGCAGGTACCCAGTGGAGCCTCCGGCGGCCAGTCTACAGTCTCCGCCAGGCGCCTCATGAGTGGCACGACACACTGAGGACGACACTTGCGGCTCTTGGGTTTGCTCCTTCGACTGCAGACCCGTCGCTGTTTCTGCGTACCGACACTTCGTTGCCACCGTTCTACATCCTCGTGTACGTTGACGACTTGGTTTTTGCCACTGCTGACACTGAGGCACTGGCCCTTGTAAAGTCGGAGCTGCAGAGGAGACACACGTGCACAGACCTGGGTGAGTTGCGCAGCTATCTTGTCTTGGAGATCACCCAAGTCAGAGCACGGCGCACCATCACCCTGACTCAGTCACACATGGTGCATCAGGTCCTTCAGCGCTTCGGCTTATGATTCTCCTCGCCACAGTCCACTCCTCTGCCTACCGGTCACTCGCTCTCAGCTCCACCTTCAGACGAGTCAGTAGAGCCGAGTGGCCCGTATCCAGAGCTTGTGGGTTGCCTCATGCACCTGATGACCTTGCGTACCCTCTTAGCATCCTGGCTCGCTACGTTGCGCCCGGGAGACACCGACGAGAGCACTGGGAGGCCGCGAACTGGGTGTTGCGCTACTTGTGCAGTACATCAGGCATGGGGCTCGTGCTTGGAGGACGGGGTCGAGTTGTCCTCACTGGACACTCAGACGCGTCTTGGGTTGACGACCTGGCTACACAGCGGTCGTCACAGGGTTACACGTTCAGCCTTGGCTCCGGCTCTGTTTCTTGGCGGTCTACCCGCTCGTCTTCTGTTCTCAGCTCCAGTTGTGAGGCTTCGATTTACGCAGGAGCCATGGCTGTACAGGAGTTACGCTGGCTCACCTACCTGCTGACCGACTTGGGAGAGCGGCCTCAATCTCCTCCAGTTCTGTACGTAAACAACAAGGACGCGATTGTCTTGTGTGAGGAGCACAGAGTGGAGCACAGAACGAAGCACATCGCTCTGCGTTACTTCCTTGCTCGAGAGTTGCAGCAGCGTGGTCAGCTTCGTCTTGCTCACGTGGCCGCTCGGGCCAACACTGCCAGGGCCCGTGCTAGGTTTTGGGGCACCCTGAGCCCTCAAGGCACTTTTCTAGAATCCTAAAAATGCCCTGATTTCTCAGGGCAAATCTTCAGAGCCTTCCTGATTGGTCAGGGCTTTTGCAAAAACTAATCCTGACTTGTAAGGGCGAAAATAGTAGTGTTCAGGGTTCTGATTTTAGCACAAACAGACCAGAACAGACTCTGTTTAGCATAGCAGTGCAGCCGTAGCGCTGCAGCGCACATATAGTTGGTGTTTTACTAGGCAATTAACTCCTGCACCACCTCTTAGCGCTCCTCCTCATCATCATCATCTTCGCTGCTGCTACTAAACCCACTGTCGCTGCTGCTGCCGCTGCCATGTTCAGTATCTGCTTCTTGTCCGTCCTCCAAGCCGTTCCCCTTCCCCGCCTTCCTCTGCTGCTCCCTTCTCTTAATAGGCCTCCTCTTCTTGCTGCTGCGCCACAAATCCACAACTTTACCCCATTCCATGTCATACTCAGTTAGGCTCAGGCACATCAAGTCACTGAGCCTGGCATCACAGAGGCTGGTCCTCTGCCAGGACTTAATCACGTTCTGGCGGCTAAAGCCGCGCTCACACTCGACGGTGCTGAGCGGCAGGACAGCCACCGCTGTCCAGAGGCGGACGAGGTTGGGGTAGCTCCGCACCAGGTGGTACAATGTTGGTGCCGTTTGTGCTAGCATAGGCGGGTGTGACTGCGGGAGTACGAGATGATCCAGCTGCAGGTGAACCTGTTGGTAAGGCGGACACAGCTCTAACCGGACGCAAGAAATCTAATCCGGTTAGACCCCGTGATACTGGCGCCGCGCCATCGTCCTCTTTTGCCGTCATCCAGCCGAACTTCATCACTAGTGCTGCTGCTACTCTAACAGCAACACTGCAAGGGTGTTGGATGGAGTGCTACTGAACGTCAGCGTGAGAAACCCAGCTAGAGCTAGCCAGGCAGAGGACGAGTTGCCTTGGCGGTGGGTGATGGGGTTGGCTTGGCTGGTGTAGCGGGGGATCGGAAATGTCAAGGGGAAGAGATCGTGCAAAGGCGGGAAACATACACGGGGGAAAATTTCATCGGAGACAAAAATCCTCGGGGAAAAAATTCCCCCCGAAACGGAACACCCCCCCTTACCCCCCCTCCCCCCCCCCCCCCCCCCGGCCAAAATCCGCGTCAGGGCAGGCCTCGACATTCATCCTGACGCTACAGGGAAGAACACTACGGCCATCCTGAAACTCCAGGGCATTTCACATAAAAACATCCTGTGACCTCAGGGTTAAAATTATGACTATTCTGAAATTGCAGGGTAAATACAGAACTGCATCCTGAATTCAGGGTAATCAGGATGTTTTGCCCTGATAACGTAGGCCCTGAACACTGCTGATATATTCACCAAGGCACTTCAGTCTGGTGATTATCAGCGTTTCTGTACTGCGTCATGCCTTTTGCCTGCTTTGTCTCACTTGCTCACTGCGTGACTTTGCTATGTATACCTGCATGCTTACTCTTGCTAGGTTATGATCACTGTACTGTTTGTTCTCTTTTATATAACTCTGCATGTGAACTGGCCTTGTGGCCATTTGCTTGTGCTCGGACTGTGTGGTGACTTCGTGATCCACCCTGAGCTTGCTTTGCTTTTATTGATTGGTCTTGTGACCGCATGTTGTCCCCCACTTCGCCTGTGGGGGTGTGTCAAAATAACTTAAATGTTGTGTAGGCTGTAGTGGGGTAGACTGTACTGATTACAACCCATTAGGGTTACCTCTATTTTTACCCCTCACTCATGCTAGTGCCATCATTCCCGTTTCCTATCTCGACAATAAGCACATGCGCCCAATAAAAGGTTGCGCTTCTATCCAGGTGGATACGGTAGTAAGGTGTGATATGATAACAGTTTGGTGTCAAACAAACAATCACAAAAGGGTACATGCCATGTTTGTTCGATAAGTTGAGGCACCTTCGTCCTGGCAACATGCGTTGGGGAGGTAAATATTTTTGAGGAGGTTTTATATTTGCCTAACCCAGACAAACATAAAACTTTCGCTTTGAGGAGGATTCCCTCCCTGCTTCGTGCTGTGTAGATGCACTAAATGTTCCCTCACAATGTTTCCGTTTACAGAGCCTTGGCAAGCAAAACCAGCATTGGCAAAAGAATGGGGTGCAAAAGATTAGACATGTGAACGGTACAGTACTCAACTCACTATGAGAACAGTGTACGGTATTAGGGCAGCCTATTCATGCTCCTAGCACTCCACCACCTCATCATCATCAGAGCAGCCCCCATCCACCTCCACCACATCATCCTCCCTCTGCCGCTTCCTTGCCTCCGTCTCCTCGTCTTCCCCTGAGCTCTCCTCTTCCACTCCTCTCCTCCCTCTCCCCCTCCCTCTCCCTCTCCCTCTCCCTCTCCCCGTCCCTCTCCCTCTCCCTCGCCCCTTCCCGCGCCCCCTTCCACCTGTCCCCTTCCCTGCACCAGTACTGTCCCCCTGCTGCTGGTGGCAGCGCATGCGCTTCAGCATGCCGCGCAGCTCCTGCTCGTCACCGCCAGCCTCTCCTGCCTGTCAGTGGCGCGCACGGGATGGGGATGAGGGGCGGGAAGGGGGTGAGGGCCAAGAGAGGGGTGAGGATCAAGAAACAGTGGGGGCAATGTCGCTTCAGCATGCCGCGCAGCTCCTGCTCGTCGCCGCCCGCCTCCCCCGCCTGTCAGTGGCGCACAGGGGGGTGAGGGGCGTGAGGGGCGTGAGGTGAGTGAGGGGCGTGAGGTGAGTGAGGGGCGTGAGGTGAGTGAGGGGCGTGAGGTGAGTGAGGGGCGTGAGGTGAGTGAGGGGCGTGAGGTGAGTGAGACGCAAACGGTGAGAAAGTGCAGGGAAACGATGGCGGAAAGGGGAGCAAACAAATACCTCCAACTCATCCGAACCGATGCCCCCCGCCAGTCAGTGGTGCACAGGCGGTGAGGAGCGGGTGGAGGTTGTGGGGCGAGAGAGGGGGGTGAGGGGAGCAACGTGGGAAAGGTGTGTGTGGTGCAGGGAAGACAGTGAAACAGGTAGCAGCAAGAAAAGTGTGGGGAAGATGGGATGACAGCGGCACAGCAGTAGGGATGTGTGTAGTCCTTGCATGTATTCCAGGCCACTTCCCTCCAACAACCCCATCCACCACAACAGAACCACCTATCGTCCCACGATTCTGTGCCCTCCATTCTTCCCCTCCCCCTGTCGCACAAATCACCATTCTTCCCCCCCTCCCCCTTCCCCACCCCCATTCGCACCAGCATGTCTCGTAGCGTTGCCTCGTCAAATTCAGGGTAGTCCCTCATCACCTCCCGCAACCCCTCTGGAACGCCCGCCATTGAGCTGCACGCCACCAGAGCCACTGCTGCTGACGCCTTTCCTGCTGCCGGCCTCTCTGTTTCTGCCTTTTCCACGGCTGCTCCCTCTGCTGCCGTCCCCTCTGCTGCTGCCCCCCCTGGTACCGAAGCTGTCGCCACACCAGCAACACCACCACCAGCAACACCACCACCAGCAACGCCACCACCAGCAACGCCACCACCAGCAACGCCACCACCAGCAACGCCACCAACAGCAACGCCACCACCAGCAACACCACCACCAGCAACGCCACCACCAGCAACGCCACCACCAGCAAAGCCACCACCAGCAACGCCACCACCAGCAACGCCACCACCAGCAACGCCACCACCAGCAACGCCACCACCAGCAACGCCACCACCAGCAACGCCACCACCAGCAACGCCACCTGAAGTGGTACTCAACGCACCTGCTACTCCCCCAGTCTTCCCGTTAACCACCCTGCCTTCCCTTCCCCCGTCCACCTCTCCCCGCGCGCCCTTGCCTTTCCCCTCACCCGCTCCTCGACTGGTCCCCCCAGCACCGATTGCATTCAACGCTTGCACCCCCTTGCTCCCCCCCTCCTCCTTCACCCCCTCCTGTCCTGCACCTTCCATGCTTCCATCGCGTTCCTTCCCTTCGTCCTGCCCGCTACTGCCATTCCCTTCATCCTCCCCGTTTCCCTCATCCTCTTCATCCTCCTCCTCTTCTGCGCCCTCCTCCCCATCCTCCTCACCGTCCTGCCCTGCATCCCCTCCCTCCCCACCCTCCCCTGCATCCCCCTCGTCTGCCTCTTGTGCATTCGTCTCTGCGAGCAGCATCGCAATCATATCTGCCATGTCGTGATTCACCTGCCGCCATGGAAAGAGGGCGCGAGAAGGGTGGAGGGGCAAGGGAGAGTGTTTGAGAGAGGGCATGAGAATGCGCCCCCCATTGTCTGTGTCCTGCGCATGTGTCTTTGCGAGCACCATCGCAATCAGATTGGCCATGTCGTGAGTCACCTGGCGCCATGGAGGGAGGTGCCAGGACATGGGCCAAAGGGGGAGTGAGAGTGGGCGGAAGGGCGAGGGGTGAGGGACTGTGGCGATGGCAAGAGGAGTGAGCGTGTGGGAAAGGGCATGAGAACGCGACAGGGCAGCAGGGAGGAGTCACAGGGAAATAGTGCCAGGGTGCCATGAGGGGAGTTGTGTTGCACAAGGGAAGGGAGAATGGCAACGGCCAGAACACCATTCGCTGTGTTTGCCTGCTTTGCAAAGGCTGAGGGATCAACCAAGCCTCACAACGTCATCGCACCATTCCATACCCTCACATACATGTGGCCCTTCACCCCATCCCCTGATCTACAGCCAAAACAGAACATCAGCAATGCCAGCGGTGCAGCGCGCAGCGGGGAGGCACTTGACGATCTTCTGCGCTCGAACCCACCCGACCCAACCACCTTCTGAGACACCCTGATAGCCGCCTCGTGAGCCCCCCTCACCCCCCCGCTACCCTCACCTGCAGCCGGGACAGCACGTCCGCAATGTCAGCGGTGCAGCGAGCAGCAGGGCACTGCTTGACGATCTTCTGCGCTCGGAGCGACCGCCCCGCTGTCTTGGAGCGGTCGCGCGTGTCGGCCTGCCCATGGAAGCGCTGCTGCAGGCACGCCAGGCAGAAGCTGTGCTGGCACGGCGTGGACACCGGGTCGCGCAGCACGCTTTTGCACAGCAGACACGCGAAGTCTGAGGGGGAGGATCCGCGTAGGGGGGGGGGGGAGGGAAAGAGGGGAGTGTTGTAGGTGGGGGAATGTGGAGGAATGCTTTGGGGTAGCTGGGCAGTGGAGGCTGTGGAAGCGCTGCTGCAGACACGCCAGGCAGAAGCTGTGCTGGCACGGCGTGGACACCGGGTCGCGCAGCACCCCTTTGCACAGAAGACACGCGAAGTCTGCAGGGGAGGATTGGGCGGGGTGTTGTAGGAGGGGACATGCGGAGGAATGCTTTGGTGTAGCTGGACAGTGGAGGTTGTGGAAGCGCGCCTGCAGTCATGCGAGGCAGAAGCTGTGCTGGCAGGGCGTGGACGCAGGGTCGCGCAGCACTCCTCTGCATAGCAGACAGGCAGAGTCTGTTGGGGGAAGAGGGGCGGACGAGGGGAAGGGGGAAGGGGGAAAGGGGGAAGGGGAGTGGAGGGTGAAACAGGGCGGCCTGCCTGTGCAAGAGACGAACCGCGTATACACCCTCCTCATCATCTCACCCTTACTAACCCTTATTTGCCGCAGTGCCAGTCACGACCATACGCCAGCACCCTCTCAACGCCCAGCCCGTTCTCATCTCCCATCCCGCTCACCTTTGGCAAGCCGCTTCTTCACCACCTCGCCCGTGCTGCCCACCGCAAGCCCCTTTCCGAGGCACCTCAGAGACACTCCAATCTCATCTCCCAGCGCGCTCACCTTTGGCCAGTCCCTTCTGACGTTTGGGTCGACTCAAAAAGTGTCACGTGCCATTGTAACGAGGTGACGTTTGAGTCGACTAAAAGACATCTCCCAGCGCGCTCACCTTTGGCCAGCCGCTTCTGTGCCAGCGCCCTCCGCTTCTTGACCGCCTCGCCCGTGCTGCTTGCCGCCAGCCTCTTGGCGGAGCGCCATGCCGTGCTGGTGCCGCCGATGGGCTTGGTGCACGCTGGGGGCGCGCGCACCCACCCCCACTGCTGCTTCTCCTCCTGTGAGCGGGGAGAGAGAGCATAGGAGAAACAAACTTTCCTGTGTGTCGTGTCAGGTGATAAGCCAGCTCAAGGTGGGCTGATTCAGCTTGGCAGCCTAAGGGAAAGAGCTCTGACAATCTGTGACGTGCGAGTTGGGTTGGGCTCGCTCGTGTTTGTGTGTGCTGTGCTCCACTCATCAAGCGTGCAAGTGCTGTGAAAGCAAGCACGCATGCTCTCCCCAACAAACACACAGTAGCAGCTGTCAAGTTGCGCCACTCACATTCCAGTCCCACGTGCGCCATGAACACCCATGCTCACCCATGCTCACCCATGCTCACCCACGCACCCACATTCCAGTCCCCGGCTTGCTTCAACTCCATCACCTGCGGCAGCAGCCCCATGGAGCCCCATGCACCCCGATCCATCCCCACGCACACCATCACTCACAATCCAGTCCCATGCGGGTGGCCCCGTGCGCTCTGTAATGTCCACCGCGTGCTCCAACTCTGCCACCTGTGGCAGCGGCCGTCCAGGGCTGTCCCCCACGTCGTCACTGCGTGGCACACACGGGGGGCAGGGAACAGGGGCAGGACAGGCAAAATCGGACACCGCTTGCGCCAACTCCGCCACCTCCGGCAGCGGCTGCCCCGGGCTGTCACCCTCGTCGTCACTGGGGGCGCAGGAGAGGGGATGGGGGGAAGTGGGGGGAAAGTGGGGGGAAGAGGGAAGGGCGGGTGCTGTGAGAGCGAGAGTACTTACATTAATGAAAGGACCGTTCGAGTAGGGAGAAGGCTAACGGAAGAATTGAGTGGAAAAAGTTGAAGAGGTGAGGGGGCACTGCACAGGAAAGTGGTGTGCTGTGGGGGGCCAGGAGGGGCACGCGGAAGAGTGGTGTGGGAGGCCAGGAGCTACCTGGTATGAGCGGTAGAGAGGGGTACCTACCTGGTATGAGCGGTACAGAGGGGTACCTACCTGGTATGAGCGGCAGAGAGGGGTACCTACCTGGAATGAGCGGCAGAGAGGGGTACCTACCTGGTATGAGAGGCAGAGAGGGGTACCTACCTGGTATGAGCGGCAGAGAGGGGTATCTACCTGGTACGGATGGCAAAGGTGTGTACGTACCTGGTCCAGGGGGCAGGCGAGTTGTCACAGCGCACAAAGAGATAGCGACACACGAGGAACTTCTGAGGGGGGGAGGCAGAAGGGCACGCAGCAGAGGAAGACGAAAGCACTGCTCATTCTGCTTGCACTCGTGCTTCTGCAGCAGCAACACCCACAAGTCCAGGCGCCTTCCCTCCCACTCACCACGTCCCTGACCCCTGCCAGCCATCAGCTTCTTGATTCCCCATCGCACCTCCCACCAAGTCACTGTGTCGCCCCACACACTCACCCTTTCCCCACCCTATCTCACCACGTCTCTCCTCTTACTTTCTCACCACGTCTCCCATTCCCCCCCCGCCTTCCTCACCACGGCACTCTTCTTGCGTCAGCAGCGGTCGATGCGGTATATGCCGTCGTGCCGCACACCTGCCTCTGTGGTCCCTCCAACGCACCATACCCACTCATCGCGTAGCACGTCCCCCCTTTCCTCACCACACCCCCCCATCCCCCCTCCCCCCCCCCCCCCCACGTCCCCTTCCTCACCACCGCGCCACTCTTCTTGCGCCAGCAGCGTTCGATGCGGTAGATGCCGTCGTACCGCACGCCTGCCTGTGGCGCATAGCTGGATCGCTTCTCCTTCTCCGACCTGCAGCCACGGCGCAGTCATGCGAGCACGAGGATGCCATGGGATGTGCTCGGCGGACAGTTGTGCAGGATTTTTTGTTTAGTTTTGTTTTTTTTGTTTCTTTCCTTCTTTCTATTGGCTTTTGGGTGAACCCAGGAGGAAATCAGGCTCTATTTCCAGAGTTGTGCGGGAAGGAGTGGGTTTGAAGTCATTGGGGAAAAAATGCGCTCTCGCAGGAGGACAGAGGATGGGATGCAGTGGGTAGTGAGGATGCGTCTCCTGTGTGCACACACACACACGAGACGCACACGCGCGCGCGCGCGCGCGCACACACACACACACGCGCACAAATGCACGGAAATCCGCAGACATGCCCGGACATACACACAGACGCATGCATGCACACGGTGTGATGTGCAGCAGCAGGGGCGCCGCACCTCACAACGCGCACAGGGTAGCCGTTGAGGCAGCTGAGGCGCAAACATGCATGCAAGTAGGACAACCCGCGCAAGCAAAGAGGCCCACCTGACGACGCGCACGGGGTAGCCGTTGAGGCAGCTGAGGCGCAAACATGCATGCAAGTAGGACAACCCGCGCAAGCAAAGAGACCCACCTGACGACGCGCACGGGGTAGCTGTTGAGGCAGCTGAGGCGCAAACATGCATGCAAGTAGGACAACCCGCGCAAGCAAAGAGACCCACCTGACGACGCGCACGGGGTAGCCGTTGAGGCAGCTGAGGCGCAGCGCCTGGTTGCTCTTGTCAAAGCGCTGGTCGAACGCATGCTCCTTGTTGGTGCGCTTGTTGCCACTCAGATCGCGGCCCCCACTGCGCCGGGGAGGGGGGAAGGAGGGAGGATTGTTTGCGCTGGTCGAACGAATGCTCCTTATTGGTGCGCTTTTTGCCACTCAGATCGCGACCCCCACTGCACCGCACAACGGGGAGGGGGAAAGGAAGAGGGGTCGTTGAGGTGGGGGATAGGAGGGTTATGAGAGAGTAAGTAAGGGCAGCGTGGAGTGGGAGCAGGGAAAGCGGCAGGGAACATGCATGGTACTGGAAAGCGCATGCCCATTCCCATCTCCGCAGTGTGCTGCCTCCCCCATCTCCTCTCCTCTCCTCTCCTCTCCTCTCCTTTCCATTCCTCTCAACCCCGCTAACGAATGCCCACCTGCCAGTGTAGAGGAACCACTCGCCGTTGTCCTCGTCGTCCTCACACCCCCCTGACAGCGCTACCGACTGCGCGCCACCGAGAGCCCACACATGCGAGCTCTGCGCTGCCCTGCTCGCCTTTGACCCACCCCGCTTCCTCCTCTCACCTGCCAGTGTACAGAAACCACTCGCCATTGTCCTCGTCGTCCTCATATCCCCCCGACAGCGCCACTGACTGCGCGCCATGGTGGGACTGCCCCGCTATGCCCGCCACGTGCGGCAGGTGCGCGCCCCACTGCCGGCACTCTAGCCTGCTCGCCCACGTCTCGCCCACCTCCACGCCCGTCCCCCTCTCCGGGTCGTACTCTGCTGTGATTGGCCCGAAAAAGTCCCCCGGTATAGTCACGAATATGCGGCCCGAGGCCGCGTTAGAGAGCCCCTTGCGCACGGCGCGATCCGTGGTGAATGCCTGGTCGGGCCGCTTCTTGTTGCAGATTGGTTCGTACGGCTTCGCTGGTGCTGACGTGGACAGCCCGCCGGCGGCCGCGCGGACGGCGGCGGCCTTGGCGTGGCGGATGGCGGCGACGATGACGGGGTTGATGCGCGGCTGCTTCATCATGTCGGGCTGCACCGCGCGGCGGCACTTGGCGCAGCTGCGCTTGCCCTGCGCCAGCCACTTGCGGAAACACACAAGGCAGAAGTTGTGCCCGCAGGGGGTCTGGCGGGCATAGGGGGGAGGATGTGGGGAGGAGGAGTAAGGACCCATGGGGAGAGAGTGGGTGAACGGGGAGAAGGGGCGGTGAAGAAAGGAACGGGGGGAAAAGCGGCTTTAGAGCACATGGAAGCATTCGAGAGCAGGGAAGGTGATCGCACGGTGACGGGAGGGGAATGTAGAGGATCGCACGGTGACGGGGCGGTCGACGAGGTCGTGGCAGATGGGGCACTTCATCGCCTCGCTGAAACACGCCGCCGCCGCCTCCGACGCCACTGCCGCGTTTGTGCCCCGCGTCGCACTCGCCCCGTCCGCGTGCGTCCCACCGCCGTTCTCGCTCGCGCCCGTCGTCGCCTGGCGGCTCACCAAGGCCTGCCGCTGCCTCGCCTTCTCCGCGTCGCTCAGCGACGCGTCGCTCTCGATCGCACGAATCCTCGCCCGCAGCTCGTTTTCCCCGTCGTTTTCCGCCGTATCTGCCTCTCTCAGCGCTTCCGCCCCGCCTGCCGCAGCACCAGACGCGGCACGGCCCGCTCCGCCGCCGTCGCTGCTGGGCGCGCGGTTCATCGCTGCTTCGACCTCGTGGCAGTCGGGGCAGTGCCACGTGCCGGCGGGCGCGGCGGTGAGTGGCGGCACGAGGCATGACATGTGCCACTCGCCGCGGCACGCGTCGCACACGAGCACGCGGTCGTCGGGCGGCAGCGTGTTGCACTGCATGCACACGCCGTCCGTGCCGCACGACCGCAAAAACACGGCTGGTGGCGCTGCTGCCGCTGGCATTGCGGGCGGCATTGCGCGAGAAGAGATCGGTTGGCGCTGAACGCTGCTGCTGCTGGCGACGGCCTAATGCGGAACGTCGTTGCGGCTAAGTGGGCTCTGGTGTGAAGAGATGTAATGTCTCTGTGAGTTGAAAGCGGGATGCCTTGCTTCTGGTTTTGCAAGCAGTCATGTTTGAGTTTTGGGGGAGTTGCTCGATGCTCGTGTGATGGTCACATGGGGGAGAGGACAGGATCGATGGTCCTTGGGAGGATGTGGATGGAGGGGTTGGTTTTCGCCGAGTCGTGCGTGATTGGTGATCGAGGGAATATTTTGGCGGGAAGCCCAAAAGCACGAAGCCACAAAACTTGGCGTCACTCCCACGAGTAGGTAACTCCCAGGTTTCGAGATATCTAAACTCCCTAGCTATTACCACAGCTCTTTTTCACCACACTTAACGAAGTTACACTAGCGCGTACAGCAATGCCTTCACCCCCCCTTTATCGCCCTGCAGCCCATCCCAACCATGCTCGTTCCACCCGCCCCCGAGCTCTCGCATCGCGTTCCCCCCACGTCCCCTCCCTTTTCACGCTCTCGCCTTCCCCTCTCCCTTCCGCTTCTTGGTCTCTTTCCCGATTCGTGCCATGTACTAAGATCGCGCAAGCTACCACCTCGCCAGCGGCGGAAGCTGCATGGCTTTCGTCCGGGCCGAGAGGTCGCGTTTCGCGTCGTGCATGCGGAAGGTCTCACGCGAATTCATGACGCTAGTCGCGCTTTCGTAGTCCCGCTTTCGCGAATTCGTTATTTTTCGCGAACGGCATGGCGGGCGAGCTGCCGGTGCTGACGCGCAAGGAGCAGATCGACGCGTTCCTGTGGAACACCGTCGACGCCGTGCTCGTGCTGCGCTTCGGCCTCGCTGATGATTCCGCCTGCATGCAGCTTGATGACGTGGTGAGCCCTGATTGGTCGATTTCGGGCCGAGGTGCAAGCAAAGGAGCGGCTCTGGTAGTGCTTTTGATGGTGCGGATGCTTGCACCACCGTTAGCGGACCGCTGAGAATGGGTTGCTGAAGATTCTGTGCGACAGCGTCGCATGGCAGAGCGCCACGCAGCGATGCGTCGCCCATCTGACCTCATCCCCGTTCCCCCATCTTCCCCCCATTCCCTCCTTCCACCTCCTCCCCTCCCTTTCTCCCCCTTCGTCTCCCTATCCTCCCCTGCCCTCCCTCTGCCTCCACGCCTGCGATTTCCGCCGCCAATCACGGCTCGCCAGCTGGAGCGGGCGGCGGCGGACGTGAGCGGGTTCGCGCGGGCGGCGCTGGTGGACGTGCGGGCGGCGGGCGTGGCGGCGTACGTGGCGTGCCTTGACGTGCAGGTGCTGCCGGCCTGCGTGTTCTTCTTCAACGCGACCCACATCAAGATGGACTGCGGGTGAGTGCGGGGAGATTCAAGCAGGGTGTGAGGGGAGGGGGGATGAAGGAGGGGTGGGAAAGGGCGTGCGTGGACGTGCAGGTGGTGCCCGCGTGTGTGTTCTTCTTCAGCGCCACGCACATTAAGATGGACGCCGGGTGAGGGCGGGTTGTGCGGGGGTTGTGAGGGGGATGGGGGGCCAGGAGGGAGAGCGTGTGCGCACTGGTTGAGCGCGGGGTGCGTGGGGACTAAGCAGGGGGTGCGTGGGGACTAAGCAGGGGGTGCGTGGGGACTAAGCAGGGGGTGCGCGGGGACTAAGCAGGGGGTGCGCGGGGACTAAGCAGGGGGTGCGCGGGGACTAAGCAGGGGGTGCGCGGGGACTAAGCAGGGGGTGCGCGGGGACTAAGCAGGGGGTGCGCGGGGACTAAGCAGGGGGCGCGCGGGGACTAAGCAGGGGGTGCGCGGGGACTAAGCAGGGGGTGCGCGGGGACTAAGCAGGGGGTGCGCGGGGACTAAGCAGGGGGTGCGCGGGGACTAAGCAGGGGGTGCGCGGGGACTAAGCAGGGGGTGCGCGGGGACAAAGTTGGGCCTTGGGCGTGTGGCGGGTATTGACCGGAGGGTGGGAGGGAAGGAAGAGGGGTCTTGAGCAGGGGTGTGGGGTGAGCGTGGGCGCGGGATGTGTGTTCCCCTTCACATGTACTCCGGGTGCGCACGGGGTGCGGGAGGGGTTGAGCGCGGGGTGGGAGGGGGGTAGAGCAGCAGGGGGTGAGGAGGGGAGGAGGGGGGCTCACGCACGTCAAGCTGGATGCCGGGTGATGTGGGGGGCGGAGTTGAGAGGTAGTACGAAGTGGTTGTCCGTTTTGGGCATGCCATCTTCGTTCCTCCTAGCCTCTCATCACCGAGTTTCCGTTCTTGTTAACTCATCCCACACCCCTCCCTTCTCTGCCACTGCCTCCCCTTCCTGCTCTCCTCTCCCGCTCCCTTCCGCTGCTACCCCCCCTTCCCCCCCCTGTCCCCTCTCCGTCCACCACCTCCGCCCCTCTCAACCTCTCTGCACCTCTGTGCCCGGCAGCACGGCGGACCACACCAAGTGGGTGGGGCCGTTCAAATGCAAGCAGGACTACATCGATGTTGTTGAGGTGAGGCAGGAAGGGGGAGGAAAAGGCGGGGGAAGCATAGGACGAAGGAGCAGGGGTAGCAAGGATTCTGGGGATAGACAGGGCTCGTTGCTCGTTGGAGTGTTGCTGTTTGCGTGCTGCTTTCTGCGTTCTGCACATTCCATGTGCATCCCATTCCATTGCCCACTCATGTGCATCCCATTCAATCGCCCACTCATGTGCATCCCATTCCATCGCCCACTCATGTGCATCCACTCTTTGTCATCTCCACATGTTCCTTTTTCCCTAACTCAACACTTTCCCCCCAATTCTACCTTCTCTTCCCATCCCTTCTTCTCCCCATCCCTCCCCCTCCCCATCCCTTCCTCTCCCCATCCTCCCCCTCTCCCCATCCCTTCCTCTCCCCATCCCTCCCCCTCTCCTCATCCGTCCCCCTTTCCGCATCGCTCGTTCTAACCATCCCTCCCGCTCTCCCCATCCCTCCCCCTCGTCCCATCCCTCCCCCTCTTCCCAACCCTTTCACTCTTCCCATCCCTCCCCCTCTCCCATCCCTCCCCCTCTTCCCATCCTTCCCCCTCTCTCATCCCTCCCCCTCTCCCATCCCTCCCCCTCATCCCTCCCTCCCCCTCCCCCTCTCCCATCCCTCCCCCTCTCCCATCCCTCCCCCTCTTCCCATCCCTCCCCCTCTTCCCATCCCTCCCCCTCTTCCCATCCCTCCCCCTCTTCCCATCCCTCCCCCTCTTCCCATCCCTCCCCCTCTCCCATCCCTCCCCCTGTTCCCATCCCTCTTTTCTCACCCCCGGCTAGCAGACCATATACAGGGGGGCGATGAGGGGCAAGCTCATAGTGACGTGCCCGCTGCCCAGAGACCGCATTCCCCACTACGACCTGCTCTACCAGGGCTTCTAGCGCATCCCCCTGCTGCTCTTTATCTCATCTGTGTGGTAGGGTACGTCCCTGGAGCACGTTACAAAAGACGAGATGTGGGAACGTTTTCTACTTATAATGCGGTGCAGAGCGGTACACTGCTTTTGTGACGAATTTTGCGACACTTCTTTTCGGGAATGCGCCCTGAGTGAAGAAAGCTGGGTATGCGTATAGATATTTAGGAAGCTGGATATGTTTTAACCACTGTAGGCAATAATATGGTAGTATTTATGGTCTACACTACACTCATATCTAACAGCTAGAACACAAGCAAAATACACAGGGTGTGCTAGAGGCACAGCCCCAAAACCAACCAGCACACACGGTCAAGGCAAAAACACAGGTTCTGCTTGCCAATGGCGGCAGCAGACTTTCATATTCGAGTCAAGACTGGTGCTGCTGAGTGGAACCAAAGGAGACCTGAAGAACGACACGGGGTCATGAGGTGAGGAGGGAGGACCCACACCAGCTTGCACCGCCACAATACCTGCAAGCCTGGGCGTGAGCTGTGCTGCCGCGACTAAGGTGGTAACACATCTATGCATGGGGGGTACTGATGCCCCTGAGGTGGGGAACGGTGTCCGTGTGGCGTGATCATGTTCACGTAATAACATGCGGTGACACACGGTGACATGTGGTGACACGTGGTGACACGTGGTGACATGTGGTGACACGTGACAGCATGAGAAATGTGGTAACACATGCCAAGTGCCCTGCTTGCAATGGGCGAACCCTGGAAGCAGTGACAGCTGCTCTGTCTGTGGAGCAACCAAGCCTGCTGTGTCATGTCATGTCGGCGAATAGGAAGGAATGCAGTGCTCGTGGTTGCCAAGAGCCATGAGCCACGAGGGTGAGTGACAGCCACGCCAGCAGCCCTGCCAGTGTTGATTCAGCCCCGTGCACCGTGCACACTGCTGCATGCCTATGCTCTCCCTCATTCATCGTCATATGCGTCTGCCTCTGTCTGTTATACCCCAATCGCTCTCACCATATGCCTCTGCCTCTGGCCGTTATACCCCAATCGCTCTCTCCATATGCGTCTGCCTCCGCCTCTGCCTTCTTCCGCATCCTCCGTTACCCTCCAACCCCTCCCTGCCGCTTCATCTCCCCACCCCACCTCCTCCTCAACACCCTCCTTCCCGTCACCGGCAATTCCGCCACCACCCCGGTCCAAACTTGGGTCCGGCCACATAAGCCACCACAACGGTGATATCGTCCAGCTTGCCCCCATAGTACCGGTACCCCGCCTCCTGCGCGGCGCGTGCAAAGGGCGAGATGCGGATGCGGTCCTGCGCGCGCGTGCGGGCGAGAGTCGCGATGTGCTCCGCCGTGTGCTGCGGCTCACGCCCCGCCAGCAGCGAGTGCATCACCGTGGAGGCGAGCTCCGAGTCAAACACGTTATCGAACAGGCCGTCCGTGCCCAGAACGACCACGTCCCCCGCTGCTACTGGCAGGGAGAACACCTGCGAGCAGAGGGGGTTGTGGGGGGGAAGGGGGTTCGGAGGGAAGAGGGGAAGGGTGGGATGCGAGTGCGTGCCAGCGTGGCGATGTGCTCCGCCGTGTGCTGCGG